TCGGCCCTTTTGATTTTCTGACTCCAAGTCCTTGCACATTTCAATCAGTTGTTCATATGATCATCTTGAGTCATAACAGTCTCAAGGGCACCTAACAACAACAATCTTAAAGAACACCTTTGTTGAAAAGCTTCCAGATATATTTATATTTATTAAACATCCTAGTTGTATCTTTTTAAATGTTTATTTTCAGAAAACACAAGTTCAAATAGTTAATACAATAAGGAAACTAACAGCTGCTTTATATGTAATCTCTATACCCACATTTCAGATACCTAGGTTGACAATGGGGGTGCTCTGATAGCCTAGTGCTAAGAAATCATGCTGCAATTCCAAAAGCACAGGTTTGAATTCACCAACTGCTCTGCAGAACAAAGAAGGGCAATCTCCTCCAGTGAGAAGAACCATGGGAGGGTCAGTTTTGGGTGGGTTCTGCCTCACTGGAACACACAACAAGAAGGCAGGGCTTGTTTCCAAAGCATTTACACTATTGTCCTCCAGTTCATACCACAGTTTTATGAAGTAAGTAGAAAAGATGGCATTATTTCATTTTGCAGACTGAGAAGTCCTGAGAGCTGAGTAATTTCTGTGTAACGTTCAAAGTGAAAGGTAGAATGAAAACTGGAATTTAGGTCTTTAAAATTATCATAAAATGCAAACATTAATTTTCCATCTAGTAAACGGATGCAAAAGACATTAGAAAGCCTAGGAATCTGTGTTTCTTTAATTTGTGTTTGTATTTTTCATTCTAAATTGCTGATACTAGTAATAGTAAAATATAGTAAATATGTTTTATAGAGATAAGAACAGTAAATTTTTAAAGGCTAAGTAAGTTCAAGTCATCATTAATTTGTGATCAAAGGGGTAAGGAAACTACTCAACAGGGTGGCAGCTTTAATACACAAGGAGGTGCCACGGAAGAAGGGCCTGCCAAAAGAATTCTACAAGATCATGGCCCCTGAAAACACAAAGTAGTACAGCTTTATTCAGAAACACACGAGGTCACTGTGAGTCAAAATCAACTCCATGACCACTGATATTTTTTATCTTTCTTAAGTGAGAAAATGGAGCAATGGAAAAAGCAGGTGGTGGGGAATAGAAAACAGAATCATAAAATATCCAGAAGAACCTGGAACCTCTGGGAAAGCTGAGTTTCTGAGGCTTTTAAGTCTTAAAAGGTCTGAAATACTACCTATACTATACTAACAAAGGGAGCTCTGGTGGCAAAGTGTTAGGGAGTTGTGCTGCCAATACAAAGACATGTGGTTCAAATTCACCAACTGCTCTGTGAAAGAAAGATGAGCAGTAAGTATCCTCCCATGTGAATTACTGCCTCTGAAAAACTCTTGGACGGTCAGCTACAAGTCAGTTATGACTTGATGGTACAGAGCAACAAATAATAACACATTACCATATATATAAGTTATTTACTTCAGATATTTTATATGACTTATCAAGCTCTGAAACTATTACACATAACTTTTAATCATCTTAGAAATGCTTTAGAAAGTTTGCTGGATTGCCAAATTTACTTTTTCTAAAAGGCATATTCTGAATATCCTATTGCTTTCAAATCTTTTAAAATTACCTTCATACTCTAGATGACTGTGTTAGGGTTTTTTTGTTTGATTTTGCTTTCTTTGTTTGATTTTGCTTTCTTTGTTTTCTTCAACCGAACATATTTTCTCTCAGCTGTTGTTGTAAGCAACATTCTGGCACTAGGTTTAGTCATACTTGAAGTATTTCCTATTGCTTATACCAGCATTTTCAAAAGTGCATACACACACACCCATGTTTATCGCAACCTAAGTGCCCATCAACAAACAAATGGATAGAGAAGTTGTGGTATATTCATACAATGGAATACTACGCTGCATTGAAAAACAAGGAACTCATGCAATATTATTCAAAATGGGTGAACCTGGAAGACATTATGCTGAGTGAAATATCTCAGTCATAAAAGGACAAATACTGCATAGTGCCACTGTTGTAGAATGGGACATCAGGTTGGGGGGAGACTGAGAAAGATGGGATCAATAATGCATACTGCATTGAAACAGATAAGAGGTTAGGGATATGTGATTAGGTATTATTGTCATGACAGGAGTCTAGATCAAAGGCTGCATAGGGTAGTGGACCTGGGGGGAGGGGAGGGATTGTAAAACAATGAAAGATTTTCTTTTACTTTTCAAAGGGAAGAGCAGACAGGAGGGGGAGGACTGGGCAGGGGGAAAAGTGCAACAATGAATGAATGGAAATTCAAAATCTCTGCAAATTTTCATTAAAATTAATAATAATAATAAAGAATTTTTTAAAAAGTGCATACAGAGACTTCTATTGACAGCTATTAATAAATGCTAATCAACATCTCTCATAGCAGCAGCCAGGAAATCCAAAGATATTTTGCACTGGGGAAGTCTGTTGTCAAGAGATCTCTACAAAGCATTGAAGAGAAAAGATGTCAGTTTGAAGACTAAGGTACACTTGATCCAAACCCAGATCTTTTCAATTAGTTGCTATATGTCTGTAAGTTGGACAATGAATAAAGATAAAAGAAGACTTAATGTCTTTGAGTAATGGTGTTGGAGAAGAGTTTTGAGTATCTCATGGACTACCAAATGGATAAGCAAGTATGTCTTGGGAAATGTGCAGTCAGGGTTCTCCTTAGGGGCAAGGACAGTGAAACTTCGTCTCACACACTTTGAGTATGTTATTAGGAATCAATCCTTGAAAACAGAGGACATTAGGCTTGAAAAGGTGGAAGGTCTGTGAAGGAGGGGAATATCATCGAGACTGACTGACACAGTGACTGTAATGGTTGGCTCAAGTGAGTCAGAGATGATGAGGATGGCACAGAATAGGGCAGATTCAGAGCCACTGTTCATGGCATCACTATCAGCCATAGCTGATTTGATGGTAAACAACAATTCAAACAAACAAAAAGGAAGAAGATCTTATTAAAAATGCATTAATAAATTTCCTCCTGCAAACTCACAATGGACATTAGTATATTAATGGTAGGTGACCTAGTGATAAGAAGCTGTGCAGCAATCTCAAAGGCATGCAGTTCAAATCCACCAGCTACTCCACAGGAGAAGGATGGGCAATCTCCTTCTGTGCAATTTATCGCCTCTGAAAATCTGCTGGAAGGTCAGCGATGAATCAGTTCTGACTCAATGGCATATAACAACAATAGGAAACCAATGACAATGAGTTTGAAGTTTTTTGTGTTTGTAGTAAAGAAAGCTTTTTAATTTTAATCCTTATTTATCATATTTATTTGATCCACCTTGTATTACAACAAGAACATTTTGAATTACCAATGTGACTATATGGGATTCTTTCCAATTAAGCTTAACTCAGTATAAACAACTTAATGTAAACTGGTAGACATTTTATATAGCACACATTTTATTAATACACGTGTGATGTCTCCTTTATCTTACCAACTAGTATATAATTTTTTCTGGTGTAAAAGGGGAGCAGAGACACATTAATGTTTCTTTTTTTTTTTTTTTTGCTTCCTAGTCAATTCAGGACACCAGTAACAGAAAGTCAGGCCTGGACTAAAAACACATGTATGAATGGTTAAATGAGTACCAGTTTCATACCTCTTATCCTTAACTGCTAATTTCTCCAACTGGCTTCTCCATATTATATCATCTTCTGTTTTATTGAAGAACATCAGTTTCACTTTCCTTAAAAGTGAGGGGGGGAAATAAAAAAAACCAAACCCTAAATCATTTCAATTATAATTAAAACAATGGTGATTAATTTTATAAAAAACAATATATAGGAATGATTGTATGAATATAATGTCAATAAATGAATGTATGAAGCAAACAAACAAAAAAAACCCCCACCAAAATAAAAGATGCACAAATAGAAAGCCAAAAGGTAAAATAGGGTGAATGTCTTTTTTATTTTTTCAATTACATAACCAAAAGTAGCAAAATAAAATGAGATAAAAGAACCAAATTAACGGAAAATCTGGGAGTAGTAACTGTGGGAATTAAAGGGTATCTATTAAGATCTACTTAATATTTAATCAATTTAGAATACTGTACATTAAATCTAATAACCTCATAAAGGATGGTAATTAAGAGATAAATGGACATACCTGAGACTGGGCATATTAGTCAATGCATGATTCAGTATTTTAACCATTGGTGTGAAACCAGTTCCAGCTGCTAATAAAAAGAGATCTTCTAATCCTTGGAGCTGAGATTTTTTAAAATTTCCCTCAGGACTGCTTACAGAAACATAATCACCTACAATGAAATACAAATAAATCAAGGAGTGAAAAAGAAAAACTAGAGGGTCAAAGTGACAACAGGAATACAGATTACCAATCAGTCTTACGGCAAAGAGGGAGTTTTAGAAGTAATAATTAGACTTTTAGTATTTATTATTTCAAATTCAATTAAGGTTATATTACACTCACTTCCCAAAACCAGTTTCCTAAACTACCTGGCATCCCTATAAAGGGCGGCAAAATAGTTGTCTACAAAGTACCAATATAGAACCCATTTTTCAATGAGATTATGATGTTGTTGTTGGTACATTCCATCCAGTCAAACAGATTCATAAGTGACTCTCCCGTGACTCTTCAGAAGCTAGAGTATTGCCAAGAAAACAAACAGACTCATCCTAGAGAGGGTTAAACCAGGCTGCTCCTTGGAGGCAAAGATTCTGGGGCTTCGTCTGACATACTTTGGACATGTTGCAAGGAGAGACAGGTCTTTGGGGAGGGACATCATGCTGGGTAGAGTAGAGGGACAGCGCAGGAGGGGAAGACCCTCTATGAGGTGGACTGATTCAGTGACTGGGGTAATCGGGATGGGTGTGTCAGAGGCAATGCGATTGGTACAGGATAGAACAGGGTTTAGGGCTGTTGTACATAGGGTCGCTAGGAGTCGCAAACGACTCAATGGCACATAACAACAACAACAACAATAGATCACATGGGAAGAGACTGTCCATCTTTCTCCCACAGAGCAGCTGGTAAATATGAACTGCCTTCCTTTGGGTTGGTAATGTAATTCCTTACCCACTAGGTGACCAGAAATCATTAAATGAGACCACAACCACAACCATTTTAAAGCAGTCTATCTATGCCTGTCTTGCAGAGTTCAGGATAGAGAGTAGATATTTACTATTTTTACATTGATTATGGACCATAATAAGATTATTAGGTAAGAGAACCAAAATGGAAATGTATTCTAAAATCTTATGTTATATGTTTTAATTTCTCCATCAAATTTTTGAAAATACATACTGAATAAAGCAAGAACTGTTCTGAACTTGATCTCTATATAAGTTAAGTAAGATCAGAACTGAATTTGACTTCACCAAGAGAATGCTACTTCCCAGTCTAGGAATAAGAGTTGAAAAAAATCAATGTCCATTTTCCGCAATGCAGTTTTACTACCAAGTACTACTCATACACAAGAGCTGCTGTTAGAATGAGATTTAAAAATTTCAAACGTAATTTAAAACATGGAAAAAAAAAGACATAAAAAATGTTCACAGAAGAAGATATTCGGATGACCAAGAGACACATGAAGAAATGCTCAAATCACTAGCAATAAGAGAGATGCAAATCAAAACCACAATAAGATACCATATCACTCCAGTAGCATGGCCAAAATTTAACAGGACAGTCGTAGACAGGGTGAAACCAGGCTGCTCTTCCGAGGCAAGGACTCTGAAGCTTTGTCTGACCTACTTTGGGCATGCAGCAAGGAGTGACCAGTCCTAGGAGAGGGACATCATGCTTGGAAGGGTGGAGGACAGAGAAAGAGAGGAAGACCATTGATGAGATGGATTGATTCAGTTACTGGGGTAATGGGGGTAGCTGTGTCAGAGACAATAAGATTGGCACAGGATACAGCAGTGTTTAGGGCTGTTGTACATACGGTCGCTATCAGTGCAGGTGGCTTGATGGCACATAACAAGAAGAAGTACTAAATGTTGGAGAAGATGTGGCGAGATGGGAACTCTTATACATTGCTGGTGGGATTGTAAAATGCTACAACCACTATGGAAGGCTATGATGTTTCCTCAGAAAGCTGGGCATAGAAATTCCATATGACCCAGCTATTACACTGTTTGGAATATACTCCGAGAAAATAAGAACTGAGGCATAAACGGAGACTTGTACACTAATGTTCATAACAGCATTATTCACCATAGCAAGAACATGGAAACAGCCCAAATGCCAACCACAATGGAATGGACTGAGAAATTATGGTACATTCACATGATGGAATACTATGCAGTACATGGGAGAAATGATTTTGTAAATCAGTACCTAACTTGGGCGGAACTGGAGAATATGATGATAAGTGAACTAAGTCAGTCAACAAACGAAGTCAGCAAACACTTTATAAGACCATTATTGTAGAATGTGTATAAGGGGGGAGGGGGGAGCAGAGGGGTGAGGCTTGGTGGGGGAAGGGGGGTACTAAGCAAAGGGTCATACAATTTGACGGGTGAAAGGAAGGGTGGGTAAAAGAAATGTGAAAGATCTGTGTGAAAAGCAATGTATACAAACTTGTAAGTAAACCAGTATAAAAGAAAATTTTTATTTACATAAAAAAATAAAAAATTATGCAGTTCAGATTTTTAAAAATAATTTCAATATTTAAACTTATGTTAAAATGCTTCAATTTCCACATTTCCCCCCTTTATTTCCCTAGTAGGATATTAAGAATCTTTGCATAACTGATGAACTATGTATCAGAAGGTAAACTACTTGTTCTGATTTAAGGTGACCAGAAAAATCAGAAAGGAGTTAGGAAAAAGCCAATCAGTTGTTTAATGAAGAAACCTCACAATGATAACAACTTGGTGACTTCTGACCACAGACCAGTCCTCTGAATGTCATACATTAATTTAGACTTAGGCAGAGTAACTGATGTTAATCAAACCACAAAAGATTTAACATATACATGCCAAAATATCAAGTGATTTATAATAAGGTTTTTTAGAATTTTAATATTTGAATATTATATGGCTCACAACCTGCACTTCTCAGTATAAAAACACTAAAGGCAAAACAAATTATAAAACAATTTCCTTGTGAACATAGGATTGGAAAAAAAAGTTAGATATGATGGAGTATTTAATTTAGGCCAAAAGAGGCTTCAGGAGTCTATTTTGTCTACAAATATACTATATTCTAAATTAGACATTTATGCTATTTCCATCTCATGTGGATCAAGCTGAAAGAATGCCATTTATCACTGAATTTTCTTTTTCCTCCCCCTAGGCTACCTCTCTAAATTCCATCTGCTCATCTCAAAAACTCTGTAAATTAAAAAAAAAAACACCAAACTCTGTAAATTGGTTATACAGAGAATTCTAATTTACGATGCATTAGAGTTATGACAAAGTATACTTAGAATAGCTGGATTTTTGGTGTGCTTTATTGTACTACATATACTATTACGACACATAATTTGTGAGGTTATCCTTCTCTGATGTTTACCTGCAGATGTGCTGCGTGATGTTTTACTTTTTCAAAGCACTGATGTATATATAGCTAAGCATTCTAAATGAAATAAATTTAGGGTCTTAAAAAGATAAACTCAAGTTCTGGTAGCTTAGTGTTAAGGAAGTGTGCTGCCAACTCACAGTTATGAGGTTTGAATCTACACGATGTTCTGTGGGAGGAAAATGAGCAGTCTCTCTGGTGCAATTTACTGCTTCTGAAAACTCACTGGAGGGTCAGTTATAGGTTAGTTCCTATGGCACACAACAACATTCACAGGGATAATCTAGATGATGCCACAGTGGAATTATTACCAAAACTGACAAAAAACCCAACACAGCCCAACTCTTCTTTATTTTGGAAGTACATTTTTATGATTTGTGTATATTTATGCATGTATACCTGCATTAAAATATATCTGTCAGTTGGTAAGAATTGAACTGACTGAAGACCAGATGAGTTATGGGATGATATCAAGGGTATCATCCATGGTTGGGGCATAGAAAAATAACGATCGAAGACCAGATAATGACATTAAGGTTATGACCTATAAGGAGAGCAAAAAGGTTGTTACAAAAACAGAGGAGTCTTTTTTTTTTTTAAAGAAACCTTTATTGACAGTTGAGAATCATAAGATGGTTTTACAAGAGAAGGAGTCTTTTTATGATCTGCCCAATTTCTTCTTTTGTGAGCAAGTGTTCTACATCTGATCACGTCAATCTCGGTAGGGCATGCGTTTCAAGGAATTTGTCCATTTCTTCTAAGGTTTCCAATTTACCAGAGCTTTTCATAATATACCAATATGAAAGTTTAATTTACTCTGGTTCTGTTGTGATGTGGCCTCAATCATTCCTTAGTAATTTGTGTCTTTTCCTTTTTTTCTTTTGTTAAGTGTGCCAATGGTTTGTCAATTTTATTGATTCTTTCAAAAAACCAGCTCCTGGTCTTACTGATGACTTCAATTGTTTTTCTGTTTTCTATCTCATTGATTTCAACTCTTGTTCTTATAATTTCCTTTCTCCTCAAGTCTGTTGTGTTGTACTGTTACTCTTTTTCTATTTGCTGAAGGTTTTGAGTTAGATCATTGACTTTTTTTCTTTCTTCCTTTTTAATGTGTGTGCCAACTGCTATAAACTGCCTCCTGAGGACTGCCTTAGTTGCATCCTAGAGGTTTTGGTATGTTGTATTTTCATTAATTTAGAGGAACTTTTTTATTTTATTCTTTATTTCTTCTATAACCCAATAATTAATGAAACACAGGCAGACATTCCTCTGGTATTCCCTACTTTCAGCTAAGATCCAGCTAGCATTACCTACAATATCCCTAGTGCCAGGACCCCTTCTAAACCCAGCCTGCAATTCTGACAGTCCTCTACTGATGTGCTGTTCTAGTCGTTTTTTGGATAATCTTCAGCAGAATCTTGCTTCCATGTGATATCAATGATATTGTTTGATAATTTCCACAATCTTTTGGTTCACCTTTCTTTGGAACAGGAACCAATATAGATCTCTTCCAGTCAGTTGGACAAGTGGCTGTTCTCCAGATTTCTTGGCACAACTTGGCAAGCACACTGAGGGCAGCATCTGTTAGTTGAAATACATCAACTTGGTAAACCATCTATTCCTGGGGTTTTATTTTTTGCTAATTCCTTCAAAGCAGCTTGAACTTCTGAACTTCTTCTTATGTGCCAATTCCCTTCCATACAGTGACTGCATACTCTTTCCACCTTCTTTTAATACTTCCTGGATCATTTAATATTCTGCCTAAAGCATCCT